GTTTATAACATTATCATTGATCGATGGACAAAGAGTGACACTCCACTACATTGACTTGCCCATTCACTGAATCATAGATGTGTTATTCTTATTTTTTATCATGAAATTCTTTTCTTTATCATTTTTGCATCACAACTCTAATTAATGTTATTATATTATTGTAGGTATTATACAACACAATGGCTTGAAGGTGGACTAAATAGAGTCTCTCCACATAGAGATACTAAAATATCAACTGAGAGGAAAAAGTGCATTAGAAGGATGTTTCCAGATGAAGAAGAGAGGAAATTGGTTATGAATGAATTTTCAAAATTTTTAGGATGTTCAGATGAGTTCTCTTTGTTGAATCCATACAAGATAGATGCATATTAGAGCCTAAGGTTTGGTGAAGCAATCATGGTGCTGATGCTCCTAAACTTCAAGGGATTGCATTGAAACTTCTCAATCAACCATGCTCATCATCTTGTTGTGAAAGAAATTAGAGCACTTACTCTTTTGTTCATTCACTAAAGAGAAACAGGATGCTTCCAAAAAGAGCAGAGAACTTAGTTTTTGTTCATTCAAATCTTCGTCTTCTTTCAAGAAAGAGTGAAAAGTATTCCACTGAAGAAAGTAGATTGTGGGATATTAGTGGAGATTGTTAGGAAATAGATGATGTTGAAAATCTTGAAGTTGCAAGTTTATCTCTAGATGAGCTAATTTTGGAGAGAGAACTTATAGAAGAAAGCGGTGATGTCAATGAAGATGAAGAAGTTTAGAATTACTTTAAGTTGATAATTATCTTTTGCCACTTGATAGCGTTTAAGTGTTTGACTATTTATTATATTATATTTTGTGATGACATTAGACATCTTGAAATTGTGTTTTTAGACATCCAAATATTTAATATTTAATTATTTATATAGCCGTACCCGTATCCTAAAATTTTGAAAAATAGTCGTGTCCGCGTATCGTACCGTACCCGACACTCGTACCCGTATCGGTGCTTCTTAGGTGTCCATAATAAATCACGTGTTTTGAAGAGCAGGCGATTTCTAATTCCAATTGCGTGTCTTGCTTGGAATAAATCCTTTGAAATTAGTTTAGATGGGGCAATGAAAAATAAATATCAGAATAAAAGTGAATCGCTTGCGTGATCAGAATCACAGAATGAAACTCATTTGTGTTGTTATTTCCAGTGACGAGGTTGAGTTGTTTTGATCCTGGTGTGGTGTGTTGCCAGCAACGATGCTCTGCTCACTTAATATGATATATAGTCATTTTTAGCTTACATTACATTAATGCAAGTTGTTTTAACACCTTCACAATGATCTCCGTATAATTGATTTTGATCCGTGTCTCACTATCTTTTGCCTGTTAGATCTATATATCTTAATTCATATAAATAAGTAAAATAATGTATGCATACATGAAGAATCCATGAGCGCCTAAGAAAGCTCGATTACCTCGAGTGTAGGCAGGCACACAAATCACTGGTCCCCAGAGCCTTCAGAGAGTTCAGAAATAATGAAAGTAGAGGAATGAGTCGTGTGCGTGCGGTTATCGACTAATCGTCTTATATAAATTAAGTTGATAACTGCCTTATTAAATAATAAATAATTATATACTTCATTATCTCTGACTCAGTCAGTTAAGAGATAGGAAATAACTGGCAACTATTGCGTTATGGGTTGGACTTCTGTCCATTGGGCTCACTTGTGTAGTCCTCCTATCATGGTCCACATAAGATTATAAAGACCAATCTATTTGGACTTATTAATTAATGTTAATCCATAAATAAATAAATATTCCAATATTGCCCTCTTTCCACGGTAAAACAGGAAAATTAAAAAGAAACAAATGGTTAATTTTCTTTGGGGGGGAAAAAAATATAATCAAGGTTCACGAATATGCATCAAATACAGAGGGGTAAATGGGTTCTCCCCCTAATTATATTCTGTATGTAGAATATAATCCTAAGCCTTAAATAAAGGTGCTTCTTTGTATAGCAGATTTTCATTTGTGGCTGGCTTTGTTTTTCATGTGTGGGATTAAATAAACGGAACAAATATTTTAGTCTGAAATATTTATTTCAATATAAATTTTGGGAAAATAAAACTTTTGATGCCTAGACTTTCTCATATTTATTAACTTGGTCTTTGTAATTTGGTTGTTATCCATTATGTCCCTAAAATCTTGTACCATTTTTATAATTCCAAACTGGTGCGGAGGAAATGAGGTTTAGAAAATGGCATTAGTTTCATAATCATGTATCAGTTTTAAACTCGAACATCCCCGATATGGAATGATTTCATTAATTTTCTTTATATCGTTTTCAAACCACAATATTTGGTTCTGTTGATTATAAAAATACAGGGATGTAACTGATAATGGACAATTCATGTGAACTAAATTGATAAAGGAAATTTTATGGATAAAAAATTTTATTTTCCTTATACATTTCGAAGATTCATTTGTCATTGATTTGGGAAAAAGCTAGACTGGCGTATATGGCATTCTAAACTCTTTACATAGATGTGGATTAAACTCAAGATTTGCATGGCAAAGCCATCATCATTATCAAGATATCACCCCATAATCCATAAAAATTTACAGTATTAACATCTAGCTTTGAACTATTCTCTCTAAATCATAATATAAGTCATAATTAATTAATTCATAATTTGTAAATAATGTTAGTTGGAATCTTAAATTTTTAAAAATGTCAATATCTTTTCATTTATACTCTTATTAAATACCTCATGTAAGAGCCTTGATAATGATAATTAAAATTTAAATATATAATTTTTTAAAGAGTAATAAATAAAGGAGGGATATAGTTAAAAAGATATAAAAATTATTTAATATCTTATATTTTGGATCATAAGATTTCTATAAGATATCTTATATTGTGATTTGAAAAAGTACTGTACATAATCTATTCTAATGATAGTAAAAACATAAATCCAATAACACATTAATGTTAATACCAAATATAAAAACTGTAGTAAAATATATAAACTATGAATAATATATTTCTTATAAAAGATACAACGGCAAAAAAAAACAAACTATTTTAGTTAGTTTTGGCCTTAGCTAAAGATATTCAATAAATTAATATTGATTGAAAATAAGGGGTGAAAAGTTGGCCCATAAAAATTAGAGTTTAAAAGATTGTTGATTATTCTTAAAAACGGAAAATATATATAAACTATACCGAAACGTGATTTTATAAATCATGAATGGCATATTTTTTTTGAGCATATTTTTTAGTTTATTTTTTATAAAAAATATTTATTTTTTTAAATTTATTTTGTGAGTTTTTATGATATCTTTTCTAAATTTTTAAAATTATCAAAATTTTAAAACATGTGTCTAATTATTTAAGTAGTTTATAAAAACTGGTAGATGAGAGAAAATGTTTTTAAAAACAAAGATAAATGAATATATTATACAATTTTAAATATAATTAAAAATAAATCCTTTTCATAAAATAAAAGTTAAGGAAGATATCATAAAATTTAAAAATAATTAATTAATAATTATGTTTTATTAATGTAATTAAATATAAAATAATGTTGAATTTTTATAAAATCTCTATGAAATAAACATATTTTTATAAAATATTTAAATTATCTAAAAATTATTTATTTTTTAATGTTAATCAAATGGGCGTTTTATAAGGTGCAATTCCTCCGTATCTTTCCATATGATGCTTAATGTTTTTGTATATAGATTAAGAAAAAAATTCAATGCAGTAAAATTCTGGCTCACCTTTTACGGGTGAAAGGCTAAAAGGTTTTTTTTTGGGGCTCGTCTTTTTAAATTATATATATCTAATATCCAATTGAATAGTAATATTGATGGATGACAAGCGTTCACATACATGACCCTTGATCCTTCACAGGAGGAAACAGACAGGGGAGCAGTCAGCAACTCGGCATTCACTCACGAGTTACGCACCGGAGGGCCCAAGACCCGAGTATTGATTCTGGATATATACGTAATATATAAATTTCTTTTTTATTTTTGTTGAAGAAATGCATTCCAACGAATAGACACACAACCAGTTACTAACTTACTAACCTAAACGCACATGAACAAAGAAAGGCAAAAAACTTTACCTAGTAATTTCCTTTCCAACCATACCCACATTCATGTCTCTGCCTTGCCCTTGCCAGACATGATCCAGCTTTCTCCTGCAACAAACGAGCAAGCTTTAGTTCAGAATCTCCAGAATTTTCATCTATTTAATCTACTTGTTCGACCACAATCTGAATGCTATAAAGTCAGAATCTTCTCGCTCTAGACCTTTGGTAAGGCTTTCAATAAATTCTTTGCATCAACAAAAGTTTTTATTTTTTATTTTTTGCCAACCATTTACAAACGTATTATCAAATATCAGGCAAGAAAACAAACTGAAAGCTCCATTTTGGCTTCCCTGAATATAAGGTACGAGCATTAGCGTAATATAAGGTATTTTGGGTTGGCATGCTTTCCGCTTCCGCCCCTCCAGCGGGTCCCACTGCATCTCTCTCTTTTTTTTAATTATTACGAGCCTGTGTGAAACCTATTCTAAAAATAATTTTTTATTCTTCAAAATAAAAGAATAAAAAAAAATTATTTAATAATGTATTTTGAAAAAATATTTTGAAGAATAAAAAAAATAAAATATTATTTTAGAGAATAGAAAAATAAAAATAACTTTTAAATATTTTGTGATTATTGTTTTGGAGAACAAGAGAGGAAGAAAAAAATACTTATTTTTATTATTTTTCTGTTCTCAAAATATATTTTACAGAATATCAATTTTTAAAATAATAAAATAAAAATAGTTTTAAACAGCTCTTATGAATTTTTTATTTTTTTTAATTTTTTATATTTTTCTTGTAACTGCCTGCACATTGATTCTTAATCAGTACCGAGTCGCAGAGGTTAGGTCAGGGCCGTAAATTCAAGAAGAACGGAGGGTTATATTTCTGACGCTAACTAGAACCTTTTCCCTCGGCCTCTGGTCTCAAAACAGTCCTCTCCACCTCGGCATTTGTCTGCTGTTTCGTTGAAAGTGACCGCCGGCGATATCACTCCTCTCCTCTCCTCTCCTTCGTCGTTTCTTTGATTTCTTTTTCTTAAACTTGGCTCCCCTGGTTCTGTTATCCGTAGTTGCAGAGCAGCTCCCTTGTGAGCTGCGGTACTTGGTTCTACTCTGTTTCGCTCTGCAAAGCCGCATTCTTTTCAACGAGTGGGTATCAGAGTTTCGTCGTTTCTGTTCTTCCAGGTCTGCTCTTTTTAATTACTCTCAATTCGTGGACGTTGTGTTTCTGTTTCTTAGAAATACTGCGATCACTATTTCTTTTGAACGACCACCGCAGTCTCGTCTATAATGTTTGTTGTTGGGTTCATTGAGGGTTATTTATATTAAGGGTGCATGGCACTGCCTTGCATGTTACATGATCATGCCTTTTGAGGTTTGAGGGATGGTGTTGCTGGCAATGTGCATAGATTTTCCTGCCGAAGTAATTCGTTTGCTGCACACAACTGCTAATCCATTCAGCTATGGACCAGTTTTCTCCGTTTTTTATATGTAATTGGTTGGCTTCCGTTTTTTCAAAAGCTAGATTTTACTTAAAACCGTGCTGGATCATATGAATACAGCGGAAACCCTTTTATCCTCCATATGATTGTTCCATTTAAAGATAAACACAGATAAACGCGTATACGTCTAGGCTTTGTAAATACTCGTTACAGGCTGAGCACCGAAGTTTATTTCAAAAGCATGTAACACTTTAGAATGCCGTTTAAATTCTTTAACTTTCAACCCAATGTTGATCACATTGTTAGTAAAGTTCGTCTATGCCATAGTTTGTACATTGTAATGCGTAACACGATTACATAACACAGCAACAGGTTGAAAGAGATCATTTACCTACAAGAGGATAAGATACTAATAGTATTACTGAAACCCAAGAAAAGGGAACTTATTTACCAACAAGAGAATGAGATGAGATTTCAAAGATTTTTAATAGGTAGGGCTGGGACATGGTAATGGTGTGGTCTCAGAGGAACATTGCAGTTCTGCAATAGCTGGCAGGGGATGAAGCATTCACGCTGGCTAACTTTGGATGAAATCAAAAGGATATATGTCCAATGATTTATTGAATTATGTTCTTGATTACCATGGTTGATTTTCACATTTTAATTATAATGAATTAATCAATGTGTAAGAAAGATGAATTACTGCCGACTCTTTGAAACTATCCTAGGTTGGTGTAAGTGGTTGGGGCCTTTGTCTTCTAAGAGTACTAGCCTTTGTGTGTGAAGAAAAATCCAGTAAGGAGGGATTTTCCTTTTGCCCTTTTGTATTTTGAGGACAGTCAGTTACTGCTATTGGTGGAGGATACTCCTTCCGTCTCACTGAAAAGAAGGGGAAAAAAAAATCTTGAACTTGTTTTCCATAATTCTGTTTTCTAATTATTACCATTTTAATTATTTGTGTTTTGAATGACGACCTCTTTGCAAATCTTAATGTTCTCAGTGGCAAGAAGGACTATGTGTAATGATATATTACGGATAAGTAGGGCTCTATTTTATTGTCTGTTCATTTATGAGCTGACTTGTTTTGTTGGTTGCTTAGATTTTTCTAATATGTCTTTTTATTGCTCTTATTCCTTTATAGGATATAATTTGCCTGCAGGATAAACTTTTCAATTTATACATGACATATTCTGCATTTTCTACAAAAAAGTTATTTATATCCTTCCATTACTGTCTTCTGCTGGATTTCTTTCCTTTGAAAAATGCATGCTCCCCAAATTATGTCAAATATGGCGATTTTAATATATTTTTATCATCATGTCCATAGGGACATGGAGATAAAACACACCATTCTAAGGTTGATTCCTTTAAAACATTTAATTCTTTGTTCTGCATGTTCTAGCTGGAGTTCATTAATTTAGATTTTGAATAAGCATGCTAAGTTTTGATGGGTTGATTAGTTTATGTAGCTCAAATGCTTTGAAGTTGTCTAATATTAGAATATAGAAAATATATTACTGGACTAGTTTTACTAGAATGCTATGATAGGAAAAATCACCATGAGTAAAACGATGCATCTGTAGGCCAAGCTAGTTAAATGAGGTTAATTTTCTATAATTTAAGCATAACCCGCTCTGCACTCTTGTTCTTTGGGCTTATTTATTTTATCCTATATTATTCATTCATTTATTTACTTTCGCAAATGAATAGGCTCAACATTTGTGCTGAATACGAAGATTCCGTGTCCCATGGATGATGACTTCTCTCACGAGCAAAAGGTGCCATGTGGTCTCATAACGGGGATAAAGTTTGATGTTTTAACTGAGACAGATAGAGTTAAGTATAATCTTGATCTTTTATTAATATCAGTTTCTTCTTTTCTTTGTTTTTTCAGTTTGATCCTTTGTCTTGCCAGTTTGGCATAACAAAGTATTAGATTAAATGGCATGCCATGTAATGTGAAGCTTGAAGTAGAGGGTAGGGACCTGTTCATTTATGTTTGGGTGCATAAATTGTCCTTACTGGTCAAAAAGGAAATTGTAGTCTGCTGGTTTGATCATCAATCATAAATATCTTCTTATGGCCTTTTAATTCAATAGCCATATATTGCAAGTTAATTAGTTTTACCTCTACAGGAGTATATATCTGCATTGCAGATTAATGCAGCTGGGCAGGTCACCTGTTCTGATTTGGGTCTTCCAAATCCATCTTGGGAGTGCTCCACATGTGGTTCAAAGGAAAGGAAATTCTGCGAAGGTGTGTATGGATATCTAATAAGAAAAGGTGTTTTGGGATTCACTCAATTTCTGATCAATGTAACTTCACTAGATAGGATACTGAGAGAAATATGTTGAGTTTCAGGTCATTTTGGAGTTATCAAATTTCCTTTTCCGTTGCTCCACCCATATTTTCTCTCTGAGATTTCAGAAATTTTGAACAAAATCTGCCCTGGATGTAAGTCTATTCGACAAGAATTGTGGTTTAAGGTCAGGTACCTCCTCCTCCTACGAATAATTACTTTGTTGCTAATGAGATTGTATATTATATATTTAAATAATTTTCTGCAGGAAAATTAAGCAAGAAATCCTTGAAATCCAAATTTACCGTATGCTTTGAGTTTTCATTTAAAGTGCTCATATCAAACTTTGAGTTTTCATATAAGCTACAAGGATATTTTTGCCAGCCACCTTTTTGTTGAAGTTAGACAATTAAAAATGTACTTGAGAATCGAATACTGTAAAAATATGAGAATTTATTCTGTCTTTTATGTTATGTGGAATCAGATCCTTCCTTTCATGCATTACAAAATATGGAAATCCCCAGATGAATTATTAATGCTGGGGGACAGAACTGGTTGCCTATGTTCATTTTTGGATATCTCAATATGTGTTCAATCCTTTTCATTTTTTTCTCCCTTTATTTGCCTGTCGAAGGGTTGGACAAAAAGGTAGAGTAGTTGATTATGTGCAGATTCATTCCTTTCATTTTCTTTTCCAAGTTTTGGCTCCCTAAAGGTTCAGCGTGTGATTGTGTTAGTAATACATTGGTTAGCTTCTATGGGTTTGCATGCTTGCTAGGGTACCCATTGATAGTTCAGATTTCTTCTTACAGGGTGTTCATTCAAAAAACAAGCAACCAATGGGTTGCAAATATTGTGCTGTAAGTATGAAATGCTTCCCTAACGTTTTTTAATAATTTTTATTCTTCACTCTCTTCTTCACTTCTCCACAAAAAATTAACAGCTTGTGCAATAAACAGGGAAGTTCAACTGGGTTTTATCCGGCAATGAAATTCAAAGTTTCTTCAAACGATCTATTCAGAAGAACTGCAATTATGGTGGAAATAAATGAGAAAAATCCGAAGAAAATTTTGAGAGGATTGCCTGCTGATTATTGGGATTTTATTCCAAGTGATGTTCAACAAGAAGAAAGTTGTATGAAAATGAATAGAAGGGTTTTATCACCTGCTCAGGTAGCTGTGTGCTTATTAGAATTTTGCAGCATTGTTGTTTCTTCTTTTGTTGTATACAATGAATGTGCATGGGATTTGATGATTCCGGGGTTATCTGTTCATACCCTTTTTCACAATTTTGATAGATTAGATAAACGATCAGATATTTGTTTTCTTCCTCCTTTTTTTCTTTTTAATTTTAGAGAAGGCCAATCTTGCAGTGAATTATGTTATTGATTTTTCAAATTCTACATATTTGCTATTACTATTCTTAAAAATTTTATTGACTACAAGTATCATATCCACATTATATTATGGAGTTGTTTGGTACACAGTCTTCATCTATGCATCTAGAATTCCTGGGCGTGTTGGATACCCAAGTTTGATGTCTCAGGTTATGAAATCTTAACTTCTTTCCTTAGCATTTCCATAATTTTTTGGAATGTGATGCCTCCCTGAAAAGGTAAGGAAGCTTGCATTCCCTGATAAGAAGGCATGGGATTTTGTTCTTTTTTATTTCTTGGAATGCCAGATTCTAAGGCTATTTATTACCTCTTTGGAATGGTCTGTGATTGGCATTGGTGCTTGTTCTAATCTTTGATTTGACTAATTTGGCATGAATCTCCCGTAACTTTTAAAGTTTAAGATGAAATATATTGTTCCGGTTGATATTCTAAAGAATTTAATGCACGCCTTTGACTTTTATTCACGTTTATACCAATTTGTGTAATCCTTTTATGAATTGAGCCTGTCTTCAAACTTTCTAGGAGTACTCTAGTGGATCAGTTTGCTATATGTTTAAGCCTTCAGTGGATATGTAGTTTTAAATAATTATGAGCTAAAACGTTAACATTCTTTGCCTTAAGGTTTATTTTACAAGCTTATGAAATATTTAGATTTTGACAACAACTAGTCCTTGACTGATATAAATTTCTTCCGATGGTCCTTCATCACTATTTTCCCTTTTATAAATTTTGTCGATTTGAAGATTTTATATTAATTATGCATTTTATAATTAATGCATGTGATTTTTAAGCTGAGGAAAAGAGATATTGCATCTTCAGCAATGTTTATTTTCCATGCTGTTTAGATTTCATAAATTGCACATTATGATGGTATGTGCAAGCGGTTGGCACATTATGATGGCACATTATGATGGTATATTATTTGCACGTGCACATGTGCATGCATACATGTGATTGGTTATATATGGATGACTGGAAGAGAGTGTTTAAAAATTCAATGTTGGATACCTAGGATTGCTAATTGCAACCTAGAAGGGAATCATTATCAATCATTGGAACATCATGTGCTTAATATTTGTCAAATCAAATCAAACAGGGGAATCTCAAAATCTGATTTAGTATGCCTGGGAGAATGATAAATCAGTGTACCACACATCTATAAGTTTGAGTTTTATCAATGATCATGCTGCTGCAGAGCGTAACTTTTTGCCACTAAAATTCAAATGAAGAAAAGCACATTCTGATTTTGATATTTTGAAAAGATTCATATGAAATTGTGTCGATGTGCATTAGTTGTCAACATGAAAGATACAGTGATATATGTTATCCCGTGCATGTTTGATTGCAAACAAATACATGCATTGCTGTCCAAAATTTTGGGATTTAGATTTGGTAGGATTTGTCAATTGGTTTTTATTAATCACTCGCTTTACTATGAGTCTATGAATGATCCTGCATAGCAAGAAGGGTTATAGTGACTGGGAAGGACTGGAAAACCAAGTCTCCTAAAAAAGTCTTCTGTTCTTTCCAATTAGAAAGTGTTTGCCCCTCCTGTCATATCTATACACCCTCAGCGTAATTTAGTTCTTCATGTTCTAAAATCATTTTCATCGTCAGCACTGGTGTTTCTTAATGCAAAGCTGATGTAATTTTTATGTCGTTTTGATTTGCAGGTTGATGATTTGTTGAGTGATGTTGATCCAAGTTTCATTGAAAAGTTTGTTTCGCAGAGTGATTTGCTTTTTCTCCATAGCTTCCTTGTGACACCAAATTCTCACCGTCTGACAGAAATCATGCATGCTTCTTCTAATGAGAACCGATTGTTTTTTGTACATATCTTCACCTCTGATTATATATTGGTTAATTCACATAGTCAAATGACTCCAGTTTCTCTTTTCTTATGTGCTACTTTATTGGCTTAAATGACTTAGGATGACAGGACAAGAGCATACAAGAAACTGGTTGACTTCAGAGGCACAGCTGATGAGTTAATTTCTCGTGTTTTGGATTGTCTGAGGATCTCTAAGGCATGCAATTCAGAGTATTTTTTTCTACTGTTTCAGCAAATCTGTCTGGAATACTGCTGGTTATTTATGATTCTAGTTTAATGATGCAGCTAAATCCTGATAAAACACCAGATAATAGTTTTGCTGCTCTCCAGCAAAGAAAGCTTAAAGAAAATGCTTGCACCTCATCTGGTTTGAGATGGATGAAAGATGTTGTTCTTGGGAAGCGCAATGATCATTCATTCCGTACAGTAGTTATTGGTGATCCAAATCTCAAGCTTGGCCAAATTGGTATCCCTTTTCAAATTGCAGAAAGTTTGCTGGTTTCTGAACATGTCAATAGGCAAAATAAGGAAAAATTGCTTTACTGCTGTGAGCTTCTTTTACTAGAGAAGGGGCATATACGTGTCTGTAGAAAAGGCAAACCATTGTTATTGTATAAAAAGGAAGACCTCAAGATAGGGGACATGATTTATAGGCCTCTTAGCGATGGGGATATGGTCTTGATCAATAGGCCTCCTTCAATACATCCACATTCGCTGATTGCCCTTTTTGTTAGGGTCCTTCCCATGTCATATGTGGTATCTATTAATCCATTTTGTTGTTCCCCATTGCGTGGCGATTTTGATGGGGATTGCGTGCATGGTTATATTCCACAATCAATTGGTTCAAGAGTTGAGCTGAACGAGCTAGTTGCGTTAGATAGGCAATTAATAAATGAGCAAAGTGGTAGAAATCTACTTTCGCTTAGTCAAGACAGTTTAACTGCTGCTTATTTACTTATGGAAGATGGGGCTTTGTTAAATATTTACCAAATGCAGCAGCTTCAAATGTTTTGCTGCCATAATCTGATACCACCTGCAATTGTAAAAGCTCATTTTAGTAATTCTTCTTTCTGGAGTGGCAAACAATTATTTAGCATGCTCTTGCCTCCTGATTTTGACTACTCCTGTCCTTCAAGTGATGTTTTTATTAGTGAGGGGGAGTTAATATCACATTCTGATTCTTCTGGTTGGTTACGTGACTCTTCTTGTAATATATATCAGAGCTTGGTGCAGCATTATCCGGAGAAATTTCTAGGCTTCTTGCATGTAGCGCAAAAAGTTCTTTGTGAGTGGTTGTCTATGACTGGGTTTAGTGTATCACTCTCAGACTTGTACCTTTCTTCTGACTCCTACTCACGGAAAAATATGATGGAGGAACTCTGCTATGGCTTGCAAGAAGCAGAATATGCATGTAAGTTTAAACAGTTGTTGGTGACTCATCATCAAGATGAGATTTCTGGAAACGGAGAAGAGAAACTGAATTCTTTTGTTGTTGAAGGAGAGCATCTGAATTATGACAGGCAAATATCTGCAGCTCTCAGTCAATGTTCAGTTGATGCATTTCGACAAGTTTATAGAGATATTCAAAGCTTAGCCATCAAATTTGGATCCAAGGACAATGCTTTGCTTACAATGTTTAAAGCTGGAAGCAAGGGTAATTTACTCAAATTAGTGCAGCATGCGATGTGTCTTGGCTTGCAACATTCTCTGGTTCGCCTATCATTCAAAATTCCACATCAGCTTTCGTGTGCTGCTTGGAATAGTCAAAAGGAAGTTGATTCAATCCATATGTTTTATGATACTCCTGTATCTGCTCAGTCTTACATTCCATATGCTGTGGTTGAAAGCTCATTTCTGACAGGGTTGAATCCTCTTGAATGTTTTGTTCATTCAGTTACAAGCCGAGATAGTTCATTCAGTGACAACGCTGATCTACCTGGAACTTTGACGCGAAGACTTATGTTCTTCATGCGTGATTTGTACCTTGCATATGATGGAACAGTGAGAAGTTCATATGGTAGTCAACTTATAAAGTTCTCATATGATACAAATGATGACCCATCTGCTGATATCTATTGTCAAGATGGTGCTATTGGTGGCCAACCTGTCGGAGCACTTTCAGCTTGTGCAATTTCTGAAGCTGCGTACAGTGCTTTGGATCAACCAATCAGTCTACTTGAAACATCACCTTTGCTGAATTTGAAAAAAGTACTGGAGTGTGGTTCGAAGAAAAAAAGCGGTGACCAGACAGTGTCTTTATTTTTATCTGAGAATCTGAATAGACAGAAATATGGGTTTGAATATGGAGCCTTGGAAGTTAAAAATCATTTGGAGAGACTGCGGTTTTCAGACATTGTTTCTAATGTCATGATAATATTCACCCAACCAAATTGTATGCAACGGAAATTGAGTCCTTGGGTGTGCCATTTTCATATTAACATGGCAATTTTAACGAAGAGAAAGCTAAAAGTGGATTTGATTATTGACTCTTTGCACAAAAGATGGAATTCACAAGCCCAAAGATGTAAATCACAAGTCGTTCTTCCCAGTTTAGAAATATCAAGCAAGTAAGCTTTTCCTCGCTGTTTGTTGCTTCAAGAATTGCTAATTTTGGATTTTCTTTTTCATTAATATTATGATAAAGTTCGTATGCTCTATATTGTTTTACTTCCTGATATTTAGCTACAATTGTATTTGTTCCCACATTCATATGACATGCATGAGGAGCATGACTTGAGAATGATACAAATCTTCCAATATATTTCTTCTATCTTTCTCAATTTGATCAGTACATTTAGACATAAAGCCAAAATTGCAAGTTCAATTTCCTGTCCATACACTGATATATATATAAATCATACGGGAGATAAGTTACATTCAAGGTTGTTGCACTCGTAAATTTGCTTTGCATGCAAGTCACAAGCCACACCACTAAAAAAATTGTCTATAAATAATAACTAAAATCCTCTGAGGCTATTTGAAACAAAACTGTAGAGAACTTTTGGAATGAAAGAAAGAAACTGGTGAGATTGAAAATTAGAAGTGAGACAAATAGGATTTAATGAAAATAGACAATTCTGTGCAGTGCAAATGTGCACTGAATTGTTCAATTTTGCAATGAAGGTTTAAGATTGTTATAAAATGGAATTCTGATCAAGAAAGAATAACGAGTACTGATATCAGGTTGGTTTTCTAATATGAATGAAACTATATGTAGGCCCCAAGGCATTACTTGAAATTTGAGAAATGAACCACATTGTCCATAGCTTATGAATAGTATGACTCGTTATATATTTTATATTTTATATCGGTATTGATTTATCAGCAAGATTTGTGTCTGCATACTTGTTTGCCTTAGTTGGAGAACTTCTATATTCATCTTTACTGCTTATGATGGTACCTTTTTTTAATGTGTACGAATTGAATTTGTTTCTGTTGCAATTATCACCTACTGGGACCATTTACTTCTTTAAAGGAGGAAAGATGTATGTGTTGATAAACATCTTAAATGAAAGTAGAAAACTCACCTGAAAGCAATATAACTTTTTGTTGCTGACACGATTTCTGTTACTTTTTCCTCATTCCCTCCCTATTGACTTGGACAATGGATTATCAGGAAATGTTCTATGGCTGGCAATAATGAAAAAGGTGAAGATAATCTTTGCATCACCGTCACACTTGTTGAAAATCCAAGGGACTATATACAGCTAGATTTTGTTCAGGGCTGGTTCATACCTTTCCTTCTAGGAACTGCAATAAAAGGTTGGTAGTGATCTAAATACTTGCTTTTCGCTGGCTTTTGGATGTGTCATTTTTACACTTGCTTTTCGCTGGCTTTTGGATGTGTCATTTTTACACTTGCTTATCGCTGGCTTCTGTTCAAGTTGTGCAAGTGATTTAAAAATGATGCCTCTACAAATTATATTAATTGTAATTTCTTACAACTTCTACTACATCTGGCATTATATTGTGGAGTGGACAAGTGACTCACATGTTCTTTCATTATTATGAATTCCTGTACTGTCCTTTAGGTTGTCTGGAGATAACAAAGGTAGATATCATATGGAGTGATCGGTCAAAAGTATCAAAATCTAATAGTTCTTCTGGTGAGCTGTACTTGAGGGTCACTTTGTCCCATGACCGTGGCAGTGGAAGATTCTGGAGTACACTTGTGAATCATTGCCTTCCAATAAGGCATCTGATTGATTGGACACGTAGTCATCCAGAAAACATACATCATTTCTGTTCAGCCTATGGAATAGACTCGGGGTGGAAATATTTTCACAATGTGTGTAATTTCACCCTTCAATTCCAATTGAAATTTATGGCACCATGTACTTAATTGACTAACACATCTTTATAAATGCAGAGTTTGGAATCTGCAATCTCTGATACCGGCAAGATAATCCTTCCTAAGCATTTGCTTCTAGTTGCTGATAGTCTATCAGTTAGTGGAGAATTTGTGGGATTGAATCCTAAAGGCATGGCACGGCAAAGACAACATGCATCTGTGTCATCACCCTTTGTGCAAGCATGCTTCTCTGTCAGTTTTCACGCTTATGATTACAGTCAAATGCTTTCATGATGAATAGCATGCATAGCCATATCTTTGCTTACACTTTGAAATCTTTATTGCAGAATCCTGGCAGTTGCTTTATAAAAGCTGCTAAAGCTGGAGTTAGGGATGATCTCCAGGGGAGTCTAGATGCATTGGCTTGGGGAAACTGTCCTTCCATAGGGACAGGTGGGCAGTTTGATATAATGTATTCTAACAAGGTAAAGTTAATTGCTTCCTCATGTATGATATATCAAGCTTGAGATCAGATTTTAGTTTATTACAAATATGACTGCATTAGGGGAAAAAAGCCAAGAATGTGCTAGCAATGTGAACTGCACAGTTCATTGTCTAAAAAAAAAAATCCATTATCTGTTGGTCTGTCAGAAATGGATGTCATGTCTCAAAAGTCAAATATTGAAGCTGTGATTCTGCTGGTGGTGGATTTTTGATTATTCATCTCATTATCTGAATCCCTTATGATTTTCACAGTATACAGTGCAAGCTTGTTCAGTAACAGTCTCATTTGTTCTCATCAAATGTTTTCTTATTGAGGGTTTGATTGGTGCAGCAAATGACCTGTAGGAAATACTCCTTTGGGTCCTTTTTAACAAGTGTCCTTCTAGAATGTTTGCTTGGTCCTTAATATAAGGTGCTTTAGAAATTGTTTGAATCATTATTTTTTTTGGGCGAAAATGCCCTTGTTTAGAATAAAGGTAAAAGTGCATAATTTAATGATCTTCATTGAATGAGGGTAATTTTTGAGAAAATTCAAATTTAAGACATCTTCAATGAGATTGACCTATTCTAACTAAATTCCTATATGTATGAAGTGGTGGATGGACCCTTATAAAAAGGATCAAAGGGAATAAGAAAGTACGAATTGCTGGAAAAATAGATGTGCGAATCTTAACGCTAAATTCTTCCTGCAAGATTGCCCATTAGACAAGGACAAACTCTTCATGACAATTACATGTAAACTGAATGAATGAATGAGTTAATCTGATCCTGCATGGTGCTTTGTATGCCAAATATTCCTGTATTATCTGCAATAATTAAGAAAATAAAACATCAGCACAAATAGCATCTGCCTATTCCTGATGCTATGTACATTGTGCAGCTAACAGGGAGGTTTGACTCCTTCCACTTAAGCTGGTGTTGTGTCAGCAAGTTGTTAATGGTTGAATGGTCAATACTTAATAAACCAGCCTGACTTTATTTGCTTTCCCCATCCTGAAGTATGTGCACAAAGGGGGTATTGTATCAGGGTTTCCTAATTCTAATGTTAATGACGCTACTTGCCAGTAAATTTAATTGATTTTTGTATATTTTTTATGAGCTTGTTGGAACATATGATTTGGTTCCTGTTGATTTTCATTATTGATTTATACATGTTAATTTGCTTTTTCTATTAGACTTGCATCTTTTTTTTTTTATCCTTTATTTACAAAGGGATTGACGACATCTGTGAACTAGTGATTTTTCATTTTCCCCCCTTATCTAGTTTCTTGTCCTCTGTTGATCTACTGTTCTCTTTTCTCATCAAACAATTCTTTTTTTAATTAGAAATACTTTATCATTTCCTTGTAATATTTTGTTTAACTGTATTGATATTTGGTATGTTGAAATTTATCAGGGATATGAACTTGATAAACCTGTTGATGTCTACAAGTTGCTAGAAGTCAATGTGGATGAGCCGAATCAACAGATCAATACTTTTGAAGCACAAATGTATTTGTCTGACAAATGCAGTGCTATGTATAAAAAGGGTTGCCTTGCTTTAAAGGGGCTTATTAGAAAGTTGGTGTCAGTGGATGATATTCTGAAGCTGGCTAACAAAGCAAAGCGCATATTAAAAGTGTAAGTTGATTTGCTGTAGCTTTTTGTCGCTGTAGCATGGTTTGCTACTTTGCTTTGAGTTTAACTTGTGATATTTATTTGATTAGTGGCAGCAAATATTGTCTCAACGTTAAGGAGCTCTATTTCATATGGAGTGATGTTTACAAATAACATTTATAGTGTGTTTTATCGAATGGATAAAACAAGAAAGCAAATTGGGCATACTGTCTTTACAGCTGTGATAGAGATTATCTCAGTCAGTTGCTTCCGCCCAAGATTTTCTGCTGCATAAAGAAAATTATATTCTCTTCTGGGCTTGCTTTTTTATGATAAAGAAGTAGTTCTTAATTTTTGTCTCATGTGAGAAGTCTGTAATAGGATTATGCTGTGTCTTGCGTTATTTGCCTCATGTTAGTGTTTACAGGATTAGGCATGGAAGTTGCATTGAAAGGTTCTGTCAAACTCTCTGTAGACCAGCATCACAAGTTTATGTACTAAGTGCTTCTACGTGATCACTTATATTATCCTAGCGCATGCCTGGAATTAGGAGAATGGGGAAGAGATGGGGAACATTTTATTTGGAAAATTTCTTTGATTTAAATTTACATGAATGTTTTCTTCCTACCCTTAGAAAATTGTTATTACCAGTTTTATGGACTTTTTCTGCACTCAGTGGGGAGAAACAAAACAATTCCATTTATATCAAAGCATATCCATTCTCAATTCTCCAGTGCTGATTTGGATAGGTTTAGAAGGATTTTGTCTAATAAACCTCAGTTTTTTGGTCTTTCAAATGGAAGTTCAATTCCTCCCCCCCCCCCCGGGTTTTAATGAAACAGGACTGTTGTGTGAGAATTCTTTTTCTTACATAAACTGATTTTTGGCTTGATCCATAGCCTATTGTGTCAGCCCAATTTATGCATTCTTTATAGTAGAGCTAGCATGTTGTTAGCCATTGTAAGAATTAAATTTGCAGATGTGAAATTTGAAAATTGAAATGCACAGAAAATCTATATCTTTGATATTAAATATTCAAAAAGGCCACCGGAGGCATCATTGAAGAGAGTTGAGTAGATAGTCTATAACTCTGTGAAAAGATGTAGAGGGAGACTAACAAGGACACTTAAGGAAGTTATATAATGAGGTCTTATGGTGAATATGATGCTTTTGAATGGTTGATTGTTATGATTAAATATTTAAAAAGAAATATTGATTTGAAGTGCAACTTATAATCTGCTCTCCAAAATTGAAAGAGAATTTGATGGGGACTATGATAATATGGAATGTCTTGGACTCACGTTATAGTAGTATGAGTTCTTTATGGGATATTTAAGTTAGTTAGTTCTCTCACCTTACTAGCTAGTTTTTGAGGGAAGATTCCAATTAAGTGTCCATCAATTGGTATTAGAGATTGCGGTCAGTGGTTTGACAAAGGGCTGCCTACAATGGGTTTTCACTAGAAAAGAAGTCAAGTATAGTGTCGCAAAATGTAGTTGCTGAGATGTGACCTCTCTAAGAGGGGGCCAATTGATAGAGACTAAGGTAGTATGGATGCCTAGGCTTTGCATTGGTTAGCATGAAGTGCTCTACAGGGCATTTAACTAAGTTGGTTTTCCCACCTCAGCATCTAGCTAATGAGGGAGGGCTCGTCACCTCACTTAGTGTCCCAAATAATCCATGTGATTAGCTTATTTATCATCAGTTTGTTGGCTTAAGTGCCTCTTGGAGCTAGAAATGAATAATTCACTGTCATTTTGGGTTGGAATTGCTGTTGTTAGGATTGGGTTAAATGACCTCTAACTGGTGATAGATTGTGTGTAAGAGGCAAGAACAACTTATAGGTAGCGTGTTTTTTCTTCATTATTTTTTTGCCTTGTAAAATACCAGAAATTGTGGCATTAAAATGGCTATTATACATCAAATAAAGTGTGTGATTGATTTATTTTTGGAAAAATTACATTCAGGTCCCACAGAAAGAAGTTTATTATCAAGAGGTCCATGAATTTTATAAAATACTCCCAAGTCCTAAATTCTGCACATTGACAACTTGACTAAGGGCGTTAACAACTGGCCAATGGCTATTTACAACTTGTAAAGGAAAATGCAAGTTATAAATGACCGTTGTCCAATTGTCAATGTCCTTGGTCAAGTTGTCAATGAGCAGGATTTGGGATGTAGGAGTATTTAGTGAAATTTATAGGATCTCTTGGTAATAAACTTTCTTCTGTGGGACCTGAATGCAATTTTCCCTTTATTTTTCTTGGGGATGAGCTGTTAGTACATAAGGTCAACTTTCTGGCAAAATTGCTGTACCCTGTCTCTGTCAACAGCTCTCAAATTGAGAGTAGTGCTGAACATGGGAGGGATTCTAGCATAAATGCTTGATGACCTGGCCTAACATAAATATTGAATGTTACTTTGTTTATAACCCCAATATGAATTTTGCTCATTTTGTAAATTGCTACCAAGCTTGAGGTATACATTCCATTGGATGTGGTTCTTGTGTTCAATAGACTAGGTTTTCCCAACATGGTGCGCCCCCTACATTTTCTGGTGTAACTTTTTTTTGGTATGGCTGTTGTTTGTGTAGATATTCGCCAGATCAGCAACTAAATGAGGTGGACAAGCAAATCATGAAGCAGGTTTTGCACTTTCATCCTCATTGGAATAAAAAGATTGGCAATGGAGTAAGGGACATAAAGGTACGCGTAATTGGGGAAGAAGGTGCATGTACTAAAAGTTAAAACTACAGCATTGATTCTTGTTAATGGGCTCAGAATAATTGATGAACTTCTTCACTAGTCAGGTTCCACTGGCCATAAGTAGAAATATAGGGCTTGTTTGATTCTGTTTTCTGTTTTTATGTTCTTAAAATAATCCTACAGAGTGATTTTTTGGAACAAATTTTGGAAACAAAAAATGAACAAAATCTGTTTGAATAATTATTCTGAAAAACATACCTAAAATGGTGAAATGATGGTTGAAATAATTATTTATTTTATTACATAATTATCATTAATGAAAACATGATGTTTTCTGCCTTCTCTCTAATTTTAGAGAACAAAAAGTAACAAAACATCAAAAAGATGTTCTGGTTTTTTAATTTTTCATAACAACTTCTAAATTTTTTGTTTTTTTAGAATAGATAACAGAACATTTTTTCATACAGATGTCTTTTTTTTTTTTTGTTTTTCAGATCGAAAAATTATTCTGAAAACAAGCAACAAAACATGCCGATAGGTTTCTAAAAGTAACAAGTTCTCGAGCAGTTTTTATGCCAGAATTCTTTCTATAAGGTCTCTTCTTGTGCCCCTTTTGGTTACAAGGGTGGAAAAGTATACCTTCTCATCCTCTTTGTACTATGTTTTTTTGGGGGGAAACTAAACAGCAAAAAATCAGAAAGCAACAGAAATACTATGTTTATTTTGTTCTTGTAATCATTTCTCAATAATGTTTTTTGTTCTCTTTTAAAAATAGGGATACAAAGATCATTTCTCTTCATTTGTTTTTCTCAAATTCAATTCTTTTCATTTTTCGTTATTAACAAACTCTTGAAACGAATGTTATGTCACATTTTAACATTTTCCCTTAATGATCTTTTGAGTCAAGTTATTAGTATTTTTTGGCACGTCTTCCGAATTATGGAGAACAATGATATTGTGTAATTCATGTAGTTGATTCCATCTTTTGCGATAAGGCTTGTCGTTGGCATCTTCATTTTCTTCATCTTCTGATCTATAGACATTTAGCAAGACCAAAAGTATGAGAATAAATTGGTCAATTTTAAATTTTTAATGAGTTTAATTTTCTTGAAATTCCCCCCCCCCAACAATGCACTGTTAGATACAGCAACAAACAATAAATCAATGATGCTATAGGTTATTGTTTATCTCCAGATCCTTGTGCCATTAGCACACCAATATTGGATTGCTGCCAAGGATAGCTATAGATTTTGGAATCTGATATAGAAATGGGCTAAACCTGGCCACTTCTCACTGCTACGGACTTGATAATGCTACTTTTTTAACAAATTTTTGTGGTGATTTTTCATAATATTTCAGCTATTTAGTCACATTCATTGACTTCCAACTGGAAAAATAGATGCAGCCAGATCATCTTCTTCTCCTTTTCATAAAAGGAAAAACTTGTTCCTGTTTTCAAGGTCTAATTACACAACACTCTGCAGTTCTTCCTATGTGAAACTTACTATAAGGGGAAGTATTTTTATTGTCTTTGGTAGATGACAAAGTGGTTCTCTTAGATTCCCATGTCCCTGTGAGAGTTTTCACATTTCCATTACCATTTTGTGCTAGAATTGCCCTGTAAGTGATATTAATTATATAAGAAGAAATGTTGCTTTGAAACTTGTAATGCATCGATACTGAGTTAAGATTGAGATAAGTAGGTGCATGTGGAATTTGCTTGACTTTCAACGTTAGATAGTGCATCGAGTAGTACTGTGCATTGTGTGAAACTTCTCTCTTTTATGATATTGGTCAGACCCCCATGTCCCTTCTCTTTTTGATTGGCAGGTTGGTCAACATCCTATACATCAAAATACTCACTGTTTCTTTATAGTACGGAATGATGAGTCTGTTGAGGATTTTTCCTACCGTAAATGCATTCATAATGCTCTGGAGATCATTGCACCAGCAAGGGCGAGGCGGTATGAGGAAAAGTGGTCGGGAAGCATGTAAACCATCTTGGTATGCAGCCACCTGACAAATAAAGCATCAATGCTGAAGTCTTGCCACATTATACAGCTGAAAGGTGACTAATCTGGAGCGTACTTTTGTCATATTTCTCTATGCCATCTCAGTATGCATGTCGAGGCTTGATAGTGACAAATAGAACGCAAGGGATGTTTCCTCTGAAGTCATCATGATAATATACAGCTGAAAGATGACTCAGCTTTCTCAGTATGCGTGTCCAGGCTTGATACTTGACTAAACTTTTGTTATAAGCTTTCTCGAAGTTTGAGAGAGTAGCACCTAACCGACTTTCTGGAGTTCTATTCTTCTTGGAAAGCTGTACATTTTCATTCGGAGCAGAACAAAATCCAAAGGGGACTATACAAGTTGAAAGCGTGAGAGAATATATATTTTTTGTAATGCTACAACCTAACTTCTTTAATTCAAAATATATTAGTGGTTCCTTTCCCTCAGCTTCTTTTTGCTACTTCCGCTAATGCTTATTTGCCTTGGTTAAAAGTTAGGCAAAGAAGATTAGCGGAAGCAGCAACGAGAAGCTTGCAAAGGTCAACCCCAAGTTGATGTATTTGTGAATTTTGTAATGCAGCAATGGGAAAAATATTTGTCTCAATTTCTGTGTTTCAATTTTGATGGTTGTCATGTCATTTAGCATATATGAGGATCTGGTTTCTGCTCTGCGGATTTAGCCAAGGTCGAAAGTTGAAACTGGAAGATGGCTAAAAAAATTTATGAGAATTCTTTACAATGGATATATATATGTTTTCAAAACCCTAGTTTACTTTTTATCATTTACCAGTTGTCTGTAAAGAATTCATGTTTTACATGGTTGTCATTGAATTTGCTTAAGTTTTATTTTATCTGGCAACATCAGGTCGGCATAAGAAGTTTACGTCTACCAAAGATGTCCCTTAATGTTGCCTATTGTTTCGTGAGACTCAAGTTTAATCACTTCAATGTTGTCTTAACTTGTTTAATATCTAGCCATGTACACAGATGCTGCAGTCTTGGTCCTGTTGGGTTCATCAGCATTGCATGCTAAGTTTGGTGGTCCCAATTCCCAAATATCAAATTCTTGCCTTGACGTAGGTCTGGTTTATTGTGAATTCACCATGCCTCAATCAGACCAAGCTGTTCTTTTTTTTTTTTTTTTTTGTTTGGGTGTAATGTACCCGACATTCTAAGCTTGTGTCACATCGCTATGAACGGATTTTAACAAGATCTAGACTAATGTGGATCGAGTTAGATCATGATCTTTTCTAGTGTAAGTTCTGCTTCCACGTCGAAAAAGCCACTTTTCAATTCTCTAGAATTTCCTTTGTTTCCACAAAGCTATTCATTTCAGAGACTCACCAAAAAGTGCATTAAGCAATCCTATCAATGTAGTGCGGCGTGGCCTGCTTGTCAATCCAATGAAAGCTACCCCTTTTTCGGTCCCTGTCGCTGCCTTAACACCATAGTCTCCCTTTCTCTTTTTGCCTAATCTGTATAGTCTTTATGAAAATCATTGGCAGTAAATCTGAATCCAATATATTATATAGTAACCCCACATTGAAAAAGCAAATAGTATTTTATTGTTTAGTTTCTAGATACGCGACTCACAAAGCATGCATTCATTGCGTTGTATGAAGTGGAGATTTATATGCCAACTCAATAAATTAACCAAAGAAATTGACGAAATCCATATAATTTAATATCAGTCTTCAGTAGTTGCCTAATATGATATGTAAAGACAACTTTATATTGAACTCTGCCATTGGGATTCATGTTCTGTGATTAAGTTAACATTTTTTGGATTATTTCCTCTTTCTGGTCATCGATATATATTCTATTCGACATGCATGTGCATATCTACGCTAAAAGACACTGGCAAATACATATGCTGTCTTGTTTTCCCACGTTTTATATCATCCTATTTAAACCGTATATTCTTCTGATTTGGATTGGAAGTACTATAATGGTTAGGTGCGTGTGTTCCTAGCAAACATAGTCTTGAACGAATCAAACGTGTTCTGCAGAAGGAACAGTACTATCGTGAATTGCTGGCCATAATACCTTTCTTAATGACAAACTTCTTCATTACATGTCTGATTTTCTGAGTTTGTCACTGTTAAGCGAAAGAACAAACGTGGGGGGAAAAACTGTGATGATGATTTATGGGCATATGATGAGCACATTGAGCACTACCTGGTGATTTCTTAGTTATAATTAGGGCGATGAATCAACTGAAAAAACCAGAACAGAGAAAAGATAAGATAATGACCACCGTTAACTTATGTTTAGCCTAGTAATCATGAGACTGGGACCATGCAACATGTGGGAGGTGGGTTGGAACCTATTCTGGTGTCTGGTCGGACCCATCCACACACATCATATTTCAAAATAGTTTTTGAGCTTAGAATGGGCTCAGTTTCGTCTTAGCATGTCGCGATCAGATTGGGATCCTGATAGTAACCAACGCACTAATGTTTCAAGACAAAAATAACAGTACCTCCATTATCAATAATGAGGCTATGGATAAAATGCACATATCAATTGACACCATTAAAAGTAGTTGGTGCCTGAAACAGACCTTTTTCTTTCCCAATTTTTCCATCATTACTCCACACGCATGAGATAATGCAGTTAGAATGAATTGTAGTAGTTTTGAGCATTTCTAAGGAGTATTATTAAATATTCATAAAACGTTGCATTGTATCCTACATCCCATCTTATATACATACTTCCCCCGGTCCCTATTTTAGGGTATTTGTAAAAAAAAAAAAAAATTATTTGATCTTTAATATAAGTCACCTTGCAAGAGGAGTTTGTGTGATATTAATTGTTTTATTTTGAATATGTCCTTCTCAATTTTCAATGAGGATATTAAAAATATTTATCTTTTAAATTTATGGTAATTAACTAGGAGCGGAAATGGTAATCAAAACAATTTTTAGATAATTTTAATAATGCAACTAATTGTTTTGGTTCTTGTAAGTTAATTATAGGTGACTTATAATGAGGACTTGAGGGAGTAAGTCATTTCTAACTAATTTACTAAAATGAAGAAAAATGGTTAAATTTTGTTGATGTTCTTAAAATTTAGACCATCTTTCCGATGTTGCCCTTGATTAATTAACAATAGTAAGTTCTAATATAATTTATTTACCTCTTCTAACATATTTTTCCACCATAAATATATACTACTTGTTGGTATCAAAGGTATTGTTACCTTATAAAAAGAGAAAAAATATCAGATAATTTAAAAATTTTAAAAAATAATTTATAAATAGAATCATGTAAAATAACATACAAGGCTATAGCCTATAACACATGGAGGGAGACTTTTAATTTTATGGCCATCTTTTTTTATTCGAGTATTGTCAAAGTTAATTAAATGTAGTTCTTGTAAAAATGTTTTTTACATTTATATTTTTTCTTAAATGATTATAATTTTTTTATTGGAATCAACGTGGGTTGAAGGGTGTGAACCTGATGGTAATAATAAATGAAGTGAACCGTGCAATATTCTGTTTGTGGACGTAGACTAAGACCACTTTTGGGGTGTTAGTTTTAAGTTAATAACTGCAAGTTGGCTTTACTATAATACATGAGTGAGCATATTCGGAAGGCTCAGGGCCTTGGGGCGATTGAATGTGATCTCTTGGATCCATCCATTGCAGAGACACAGATGTTAGTGTCAGACTGAAACACTGTTTGGTGTCGTTTTGTGAGCCATCTTTATCCGAGAAGAGTGCTGTCCGGCACATGTTCCTTTGACGAACAGTCACTTTCACGGCTCAAGAGACGGCCTCCATTAGTGGCTTGTGTGTATTGCCAAGTACTATAACCCCACTTGGTCTTGCACTTGATCGCGTGGTTCTGGTTGCACACTCACTCGGCTCGGCTCGGCTCAAAGCGCTAACCCACAGTCTCACGCGCGTTGTGTTGTGTTCTTTTAATTTTGATGAAATGTGTCTATTAAAAAATAATTTATCTGTTTAAAAATAAAAAATATTTTTAAAAAAATTTAATATTATAAATTATAAAATATTTTTAATTTTTTTATGTTTAATTATTATTTTTTTAAATTATTTTTATTGATAATAATTTTATATTTATTATAGAATGTGTAATAAAAATAAATATAAAAATATATAATTAATTTAAAAATAAATAATTATTTTATTGAAAGATGAGATTTAATTAAAAATATATTAAATTAAAAATATAATATATTTTTAAAGAGAGGAAGTATTAGATAATAGAGGGTGGATGATGCAATACTTGGTTGGTGTTATGCTTTGGAGTGTGTTGTGTTCTTCCATTTAGTGACTGACAAATAAGCAACCGACAATAACAAATAGCCTAGCCTTCACTCATGCCTCACGTTTCAAAACGGTTTTGTTGACTGAGGATGAGATTCCTCTCTCTATCAAACTAAAATAACATAAATATTTTTTTATTTTAAGGTAGAATATGAAAGTTTAGATTTTTTTAAATTTAGTTAATTAATTCATATAGATTAAGAAGATTTAGTTAGTTTTTTTAAAATTGTACTGTTTTAGTTATTTATATTATGGTGTATTTGGATTAATGAGGATTTAAGTTTGAACCTAATCTCTCATTTGATTACAATTTTTTTATTGATTTAGATGTAAATTCATTTTAAATTATAATTTATTTATAGTTTAAAATTTTCTCTACACCTTAACATTTAAAATTATTACCTTAAACATCTTGTTCTCTTTATATTTTTACCATTGATACTACCATGATTTTCATATTTTTTTTCTTATCTCTTGTTTATTGAAAATATAAATATACTCATCATTTTTAATTTTTTTTCAAACATCAATTCATCTCTCTTTTTTTATTTGAAATTTTTAAAGTATCTAAACAAATAAGTTTAAATATATGAATTTAAACTAGAGTTTTCAAATGTAGAATTTTAAATTTAATTCAAATTCATCAATCTAAACACTACCTTAAAATATTGTGAACATAGTGTATACATAATTTAATAACTTAACTATATATAGGGGTAGTTCAGAAAATATAAAAAGCATAGGAGGCAGGGGAGATTAGCCTCTTGCATTTAGGAGCAAGACAAACCCCCAGCCAACTCCACGTTAAAGTAGTGTTTTTTCTTCTCATGGCCAAAATGCGTTAGAAAACACAGTTAAACTAAATTGATCAATTCATGTTTTAGACTTACCTTCATTTTTTTTTTCCAATTCTACCTTTATTTAATGTCAGTTTTTTTGACTAAAAATTAATGTCAATTTTATTTGCTAACCTTTAATAAGAAATGTCACATTTACAGCAACTCATTCCATACATTTAATAGGAGTATATTGAGAAAAATATTAGATACTCTTCCAATTTTATAATTGTCTTATTAACACAAACAAATTACTCTCTAAAATTTTGTGCTATAAATATGAATGGAGGGAGTAATTGTTTGCATGTGCAAACCTCTTTTATTATTGTTGTTTCTTTTAAAAGGATTATCATCCTATGAGCAATAATGAAAAATAGAAGGAAAATGTAAAAAATTGATAACGGCATTTCATCCCCATGTGACAATGTGGAACAGTGCCATACAGATAAGTTAGATCAAACGAGGGGAAA